CTCTCTCTCTCTCTCTCTCTCTCTCTCTCTCTCTCTCTCTCACTCTCATCCTATTACTGCATCTTGCTAACTCGGCCATTCTGGATGTCACTAACTCGGCTTCTTCTCCGGAGCCTTTGTGCTCCACTGTCTCTCAGATTAACTCATATCACAGCGGTGCCTGGACAGCGTGACGTGTGTGGTTGTGCTGCTGCCATGGTCCTGCCAGATGCCTCCTGCTGCTGCTGCCATCATTAGTCATTAGTCATACTTCTACTGTTATTATACACATATGACTATTGTCACACATGTATACTGCCAGATATTAATACATACTTTCAACATATTGTACCACAGTAGCCAGAACTATAACTTTTTATTACTTTCAATAATGTTGTAAGCTACTGTCATTACCTGCGTCTCTCTCTCTGTCTCTCTCTCTCTCTGTCTCTCTCTCTCTCTCTCTCCCTTTCTCTCTGTCTCATTGTGTCATGCGGATTACTGTTAATTTATTATGCTGATCTGTTCTGTATGACATCTATTGCACGTCTGTCCGTCCTGGAAGAGGGATCCCTCCTCAGTTGCTCTTCCTGAGGTTTCTACCGTTTTTTTTTCCCCGTTAAAGGGTTTTTTTTGGGGAGTTTTTCCTTATCCGCTGCGAGGGTCCTAAGGACAGAGGGATTTCGTATGCTGTAAAGCCCTGTGAGGCAAATTGTGATTTGTGATATTGGGCTTTATAAATAAAATTGATTGATTGATTGATTGATTGTAAAGTAATGGCACAGATCAAGGAGCATGTGTTTATTACCCTGTCTGACTTCTTTGTCACCCTGTAGCTGCATGCCTGGATTTAAGAAATTACTCAGTATGATGGGCCTCATTCACCAACCGTCGTCATGGAGAAATTCCTTCCAAAAACCCACTTTTTTTTTTTTTTTACAAAGATTTTTACATTCACTAATGTTTTCTTATTTGGGATTTGTTCTTGGGCAGGGACAGAATCTACTTATGCAAATTTTAGATATGACATTTGTGCAGATTATTGAGTTAATGTGTTTTCTTCAGTCTCACAGTTGTAAAAATGTTGTTGAGATAGATTTAAATTCCAATAATATTTTTACCATTTCTAAAAAAATTGAAATAATTATTTTCATTATTTTATGAAATATTATAGTCTTTAAAAGAAAACAAAAAAACCCTTGGAAACCATGCTATCTAATGAAGTCTTTACCTACAGAACTCAAATTAGATCCTGATTTAGATCCATTTAAACTCAAACTGAAACAGTTTTTTTTAAGAGGAATCAAGGTTGTTGTACTACTGTTGTTGCTGAGTCTTTTATATCTTAAAGGGGAACTAATGTTTTTTTCAACCTGGGCCCTATTTTCTGATCTACTTTTGTCTAAATGAGTGATAGGATGTTCAGTATGTGACATTTCTCCAGTATGAAGCTAGGGCTGACCTGCCTGCAGCCTGTGAGCACGCACTATATTAAATAATAGGGCACTCAGACAGCGTCAAACAACGTCAAAATACATCCACTAAAAGTGCATTTTTTCCACACAGATAGGCTCGGATTGTTAGTATAATTATCTGACGACAGAACGGAAAGGAGAAATGAACGTGTGTGTTTACCTTTAGCTGGATTCAGACATGTTCCTCTGCCTGTTGCTGCTCCCTCTCTGTCTCCTCGTCCGCTCTTCAGTTTCAATGAGCTCTGCGTCCGTGTACATCCGTGTACTCCGTGTTCAAATAAAAATTCAGCCATGACTACTCCAAACAGAGTAACTCCTCGCGTTTGTAAGGTCACTCCAGCGGTAACTTCCTGCAACAACTCAAATCTCGCGAGACGTGAGATTTCAGAGCCAGACTTTCAATCTGAGTGAGTGTTTTGACTTGCCACAACAAACATGTCTGAATTTATACCCGATTTTGACCAACTGGATCTGGATGAGCCATTTGAATTTGATGAGCGCCCGTATTTATTTGAACACGGAGTACATGGACGTACACGGACGCAGAGCTCATTGAAACTGAAGAGCGGACGAGGAGAGAGAGGGAGCAGCAACAGGCAGAGGAACATGTCTGAATTCAGCTAAAGGTAAACATACACGTTCATTTCTCCTTTCCGTTATGTTGTTGGATAATTATACTAACAATCCGAGCCTATCTGTGTGAAAAAAATGCACTTTTAATGGATGTATTTTGATGTTGTTTGACGCTGTCTGAGTGCCCTATTATTTAATAAAGCGCGCACTCACAGGCTGCAGGCAGGTCAGCCCTAGCTTCATACTGGAGAAATGTCACATAATGAACATCCTATCACTCATTTAGACAAAAGTAGATCAGAAAGCAGGGCCCAGGTTGAAAAAAACATTAGTTCCCCTTTAAGGCCCAGCTAGGGACGAGCATTGCAAATTAGCGTGGCTATAAATGCTGTGGCGTGTGGCATTCATGTATGCTACATACTTGTCCCTGTACAAATAAGCATTAAATAAATAATAATTAGTAATTGATCACATTATTAATAGGCTCAGTAGACTTATAGACCTACTCACGCAGTGGTATATTTACTGCTGCTGCGAGATGTTGCAGATCCTGAGGAGGGAACACACCTTCCAGCATCATGTATATCTAGAAGGTGACAAGGGTAAGCCTGTGCCCCTCCACTGTCAGTGTCACTCTTCTTTTTTTGGCCTCAGTTTGAGATCCAATCTTTTATTTTTTACTTAATCGGTTGTGTGCCTTTCTTCAGATACAGCAATCACTGAAGTACAAGCATCCCGTGCATCTTTTTTGTGTTGTTTCAAATCCACTGCTGATGCTACTCAATATGACCTCTCATTTGGCATTCACTTCCTGCAGCACCTCTATTTCAGAACTACTGAAGTGTTTTTAACGTTTGGAGTTCAGTGCTCCACTCGTTTCAGTCTTTTGCTTTGGTGTTCTTGACACAACTCTCTGTTTCAGCTTTCAGTTTCTATGTGTGCACACCATAGACTGTATGTACAGATGGATGACATGGCAGCTCCCCAAAAGTGAAGCCAAAACATCTCAATCGCCTCCTGGTGGCTGTCTGCAGTACAGGTCATAAACTCCGCCCCCGCTATGATAGTCGCCAACCTAAAAACTCAACGTCAGTCGGTGTGTTCACAATCAGTGGCACTGCTCATGATTGGTCAGATGGGTATATGGACAGGAATTATACCACAGAGACTGCTACTAAACAGACTCTGGCTCCAAACGCTGTCACCAGCACAACATGGCAGCAGCCGTATGTGGGGTGTTTTGGCTTCATTTTTGTACAGTGGGAGGACGTGGAGACACCTTGTCTATCTTAAATATAGTCTTTGGTGCACAGGCCCTGCAGTTTCATACCCTTTTATGGGGATTGGCAGTGCATTTGCATATGCTAGTTAGCATCATCTGACATGTCCTTTTAATTAATATGGACAAGGGGGTTTATCAGTTTAAGGACACAGGTGTGAACAATCCTGCAGTTCAAGGACACAGCATACATTTGACATTTTAGGACCTTTCTTGAGAACAAATTTAAGATAAAACTTAGGATGATATTGGTGACTGAGGTCCATTGTTTTATATTATACTATTATGTTTTAAATATAAAATCAATCTGCAAAGTCGAAAAATGAACGTACTGTATCACTGAACCAAAACCACAACCTTTCTCTAACAAGTTTGTTGTTTGTTTTGGTGTCTAAACTTAACCACACAGAGCTCAGGATGCAAACCTCAGTCTCAAACGTCAAAGTGATGTGCTTTGTTTGCCCACTATATACCTCCCTATGACCTCACTGAAGCAATGACCTCAGTGAGGCAGCACTGTGTGAATTAGCAAAAAAGGATTCCAGTGAACATAATTCAAGCCTGAATTGGCATGTTTCCTGTAAAAGTATTTTTTATTTAGTTGCTTAGAAACTTCATTTTAAGGAGACGGTTTTGGCACATGTCAGCAAAAATCTGACAAGTACCACTAAATATTTATACTGGTCCCACCAGTTCGGCTGTCCTGATTAACATCCATGGGCAAGTGAGCTTGCTGTGCTGCTCTTGGAGCTGTACAGGCCACAGTGGATCACTTCTTCACCCCTTATTATAGTAATGAATTCATACATGCACAGCTGTGGATTGTAGACTCACTCCCAGATCAGAATTTAGTTGTTAAATGCTTAATTTTTTCACTGTTTGACATTTAATACATAATGCCTCAGTTCTCTTTTGAACTTTGATCATGGCTTGTTTAGTCACTAATATGTGATGTTATAGAGACATGCTTAAGATGTGACACCAGGTTTTCTAGGGCCGTGCCAATTTAGTCACATGTTTAACCAACCAACCAGTTTCTAAGCTGACTTTACAGAAAATGTATTCTATTACAGTACAGGTACTGTTGAAATTGCGATATCAAATTACACACATGTACTGTGATGGAGGATTTAATTCAGATTGCCCATCTTAAGACTCCAGACAATATTTTGCACGAAAGCTAGTAAGCAAAATATACTGACATCATCACTATCAGGTAGTGATGGCCAAATGAAGCCTCATGAAGCATTTTCTTTATTTTCTGAGCCCACTAGATGGCGCTTTTTGTTCAACAAAAGGTTGAAAACACACTGAATTGCCATTCTTTGAGCCTCTCTCTTTAAACCATGAGCGCCATCTAGTGGGTTCAGAAAATAAAGAAAATGCTTCATGATGCTTCATTTGGCCATCACTACTATCAGGTATAAAAAGGTGGTGCGAGCCCTAAAGGTTCACCACAAGATGGGAAAAAAATGTATATGCTTATTGCACACAATTAAGAACCACTGTTAATCCTGACCTGAGCACCTAGCAGTATATTTTTAACAGGAAGTTCAACCCAAAATCAAAAACACATATTTTCCCTCTTATCTGAAAAGAGTTTTGGTCAGTGTGTGTTGTTTTGGTGTGAGCTGCTGAGTGTCTGCCTTTATTCCATTTAATGGAACGAAATGGCACTCAGCTCAGAAAAAGTCAACAGCAATGTCTCGTTCCAGAAATCATAACATTAGTCAAGATAATCCACAAACTTAGTTGTGAGCAGTTTCATGTAGGAACCTTTTCCTTTCTGCTAAATTACACCTGCCAGCTGTATCACCATGCAGAAGGAAGCGCGCTTCCCCACACGGACAAAAGGTTTGTGGTCGTGACAGCATGACATGTCAGCATTAATGGCATCCTCCATGGCTGAGCTGCAACATTAGCCAGGACTGTGGTGCTAAATGAGCTAGCAGTAGATGCTACCTGCTGTGTGGTATTAAGGTTGATGGGTGTTACTGCTCAAAACAAGGTCTGTGGATTATCTTGAATAAATGGGTCATGGTTTCTGGAACGAGACATTGCTGTTGAGTTTTGGAAATTTATTCTTTGGCACTTTGAGCACCACAAGCTGAGTGTCATCTAGTTCCACTGTATGGCAAAAAGGTAGACATCTCCACGACCCATAACTCCAACACTCAGCAACTCACACCAAAACAATCTAGACTGATAAATAGCGCAACAGGTACTGACACACCGAGCCAATGGTTGGCCATCGGTCAATGCTGGGCCATCAGTGAGCATCTGTTGCTCTAGTTTTTGTGGCCCCTCCTGCTACTAGTTTGCCTTTGTTGGCAGCTCAGTGCACAAGCAGGAAAAGAAAGTGCGGAAAGCAAACAAAAAACTTAAGTCCCGAGGGCGGGAGATCAAAACAAACTTGTCATGTTAGGTAAGATTATTTTTTTAGCCACTTAGCTCTTTAGCACAGACGGTTCATAATTGATTGTTGCTAGCACACAACAAATATCCTTTATTCTTTCAACATGGTGTTGAATTGTTAACGTGCTAACTGGCTAACGAACGTCTTAAATTCATCCTGTTGGTCTTCCAGTTTCCCTTTTTGAATGACTGATAAAGACTATAGCCACTTGCTAGTATAGAAAGTTACTTCCTCTCATGCAGGGGCAGAACGTGGCCATTAGCTGTAGTCTTTGCAGTCTCTTCAACTTTTTGTCCAAGACACAGACGACGTAAGGCAATGCAACAGTCGGCATTTGTTGCCACTAGTTCTTCACTGTTAGTTTGAAGTATCTGGTCCTTAAGATGAAAATGATGTATTTTTGATTTTAGAGTGAACTGTCTCTTTAAACTGTCATTATCATTTCCACCTCTGTATATGTTTATATCCATGAGTCAGACTTCCTCTGAATGTGTACGCCAAATGTCTCAGTCATGTAGCATGTTGAAGAAGTGGCATAATGCATCATAAAACCTTGTGATGTTCCATCATGCCGTCCAGTGTTATGACACTGTGATCTCTTTCAATCACTCTAACAGACAGTGAAAGTCCAGGGCAACGACATCTCACACAAGCTGCAGATCTCCAGAGTCAGCAAGAGCGACGAAGGACTGTACGAGTGCCGGGTGACACGAGCTAACTACGGAGAGATTGTGGAGTACAAAGCCCAAGCTTGGCTGAAGGTCAATGCCACGGCCAGGCCACGACGACCACTGCTGCCTCCCAAGAAAAGCTCCCCGCTGCACCTGACAGACAAGAAGCCGAGAAAGTCCAGTTCACCTCTGGGTCAGGACAGCATGAGTTCAGACCAGAGGGTGGCCTCCACCTCCACCTCTCACACATCCTCCAATACAGCTAAACACAACCCCGGCTCAGGTAAGGCCCCTGGGCGAGGGTTACATAATGAGGTAACACAAAAAAAGACTCATGTAGTCTAGAGATTTTACCAGCAGCGTATTGTCTGGTCTGCAACCTTTGATATGTTTGAGACGTTTGTGAGTCATCTGTCTGAAAAAGGTTGTTTGGTTGAGATCCAGAACAACCAGCATCTGACCTCAGCATGTATTCACAAAGCAGTCAAGTGAAAAATGGTAACTTCACAAAACAGGCCTGCCTCGTAAAAAGGTAGTCTGAAAGAGACTGAGGTGCCTGCGTCATTCACTCTCATGATTGACCCTGTGGATCCAAGGGAATAGAATATCCAGCATCTGGTGACTGTGAACAGTTAAACAGACTGTGTGGAGAGTCTCACTGAAATATCAGTGCAGATTTTGCAGGACAAGAGTACAAGCAGGAAAATGTGATTTGTAAGCCAGAATTCAGAAAAGTTGGCCGAGTATTTGACGAGTGTTTTGTATTCATCAACGACCCTATCAGCCTGCCAAAGTGTAGCATAACCTTTGATCACAACACAACAGAAATGCACCGTATTTTTTTACCATTTGCCCATTCACAATACTGATAGCCCATCCAACTGTTGACATTTTGCCGTGCTGAAGTCGTCCTGCCAAGATGTTGGTATGGTTTCCTGGTGGGGGTTGTACAGTTCAGGGAGCATAGAATGCTGTTAGCTAGCCCTCTGTCACACATAACTTTCCGGTAACGTCACAGTAAGCTGTCGTTTGAGTATTTGCACATTGAAAAGGTCACAACGAGCATGAAAAGTCAAAGGTGAATCTGATTGAACTTTGAGTGCAGCTGTGGTCTGTAAATGGCTTCAGGACTGTGTGCGGAGTGCCATAGGGTCTGTTTTGGGGCAGTCTCTTTCTGAAGGTCTCGGTCTTGTCTCAGATTCAACCACATTTTTACTCGGTCATGTCTTGGCATCGGACAAAGAGGACTCTAGACTTAGATACTTTTATTTCTATACTAATCAAGACCACAGCTGTGGGTGTATCACTAAATTGCCTGTGCAAAAAAGAAGTGCTGAGCAAGGACTATTAACCCTTTTAGAGCTGTCTTCCCCACGACAGCCGTAGGGGATTGTTGTTTGCATTATTCTGTTTAGAAAGCTCTAAAATAAGAGCCATTACAGCTTAAGTATTCTTTTGTTGCAGCAGAAAACTAAGGCTTCTGTCATTAACATCATCATATCATGACCCTACCTTATGAGCTGTTAAAACATGTTATTTTGCCATAACTATACCAGTATTTCCACATAATGGCCACAGGAGATTGTTGTGAGCGCAATCCTGTACATAGCAATCTAAAATAGCCGATAATAGCCAGAGCATTACATTCTATTTGCAGCAGAAAGCTGGCTCTTTTCACTTCAGTACCTTATGTTACCTTACCTTAGGTGTGGTTTAAACGTAGCATTTCACAGATATTATGCTGGAATTTCCCTTTAATTGCTGCAGGAGATCACTGTTTGCATAATCCTGAATATATTGATCTAAAATAAAAACTGTGATAGCTGAAACATTCATTCTTTTTGCCACAGAAGGCTAAAGCTTGAGTCTTGGGTGTCATCATGTTGTGGCTCGTAATGACGTCATTAAACGTGTGGTGGCGCCAGTGGAATGAATGATGAATCCATCGCAGCGCCTTTACACTTTGTTCATAGACATTAGCATATCTCAAAAACTAAATAATGTGCATATCAAAAAAAAAAAAAAATTGGACCATTGGAAAATATTTTGTATATGTTTCTACATTTAAAAATATTTTTGATCAATATGTTTTGTTTTTTCTTTTTTTTTTTAAAAAAAAAAAAAAAAATCTGATAAAAAAAAAAAGGTATTTTTTTTTTTTTTTTTTTTCAGTTTCACTTTTAACATTTATTATGGTTTATCAACTTACATAACTGCTTAGATTGCAAAGAATTTAGGGATATGAAGCATATGAAGATGCCAAAAAAGCAAAACTACCAATGTAGGCACTGGCGGCACATTTCTATTGCAGAGTTCAAAGGATTAAGTTGATTTCAGCTCCTTGATGTTTGTATTTTTTGCTCATACAATAAAAGAGATGAATTAGAGGAAATTAATTTGTTTTCTGGGGGTGTTCTTAGGGAATGTGGGTCTTTCAGATCGAATTGAGGAGTGTCTGTTGTTTGTATGTTCCTCATTTTATGATGCAGTGTGTGTGTCCTGCAGTGCGGGACTCATACTGGTCTGGTCTTGATCTTCGCTTGGTCTCAACCTTTCAGAGTCTTTGTCTTGTCTCGGTCTTGATACACTTTGATCTAGGTCATGACTTGGTTTCGGTTTAGGTGGTTTTGAATGCAACACTGGTTTGGGGCACAGCTGATCCATATGAGTCCATCTATGTGACAACGTAAAATAATAATAGATATAAAATGTGGATTTTGTGAAGACATTGTGCACATAGAAAATATACAAAGGCCGAATCATTTGGATTCGTTATATTCTGCAAAGCTAGACAGGCAGCGGTTGGTTTTCGTCCATCTAATGTGTGAGGATCCTTGGGTTCAGTGTGAATATCATAGTGTTTGGTGGCTGATACTAGTGATGGCCAAATGAAGCCTCATGAAGCATTTTCCTTATTTTCTGAGCCCACTAGATGGCGCTTTTTGTTCAACAAAAGGATGAAAACACATTGAATTCTTTAAACCATGAGCGCCATCTAGTGGGCTCAGAAAATAAAGAAAATGCTTCATGAGGCTTCATTTGGCCATCACTAGCTGATATAAAGATAAGTTTACTGTATATTCTGACCACAAATTGTAAAAACAGTGGAAACTGCTTAGTTATCACGTATGTTCCGGTCAAATTGATCACTATAAGCAGATAATTATTATAACTGATCATGGAGACTAACATCTAATTGACATTTGTACATTTATAACATGAATATAAAGTAATGAAACAGACATATATACCATGTCAGCCCATTTCTTACCACAATTTTCTCTCTCTTTTAAAACCTGTCTTTGGAAACTTTGAATTAGCCTTTCCCCTCACCAACGGACCCACTTCAAGGAGGCATTACATGACCAGGCATTATCAGTCCAATTGATGAGGGCGGGTTGACTTTTCCTGTTGTTTGACTACACAAGGTTGCCTGAGGAACACCACGTTTCACTGCTACATCTCGTTGGCTCTTTTTTGGCAGTTGGTCATAAGCTTTAAGGAGACTACGATTTTCATGGAGAGAGAATTACTTTCTTTTTCCCGTCATGATTTCAATGCGCAATCAGCAGCAGCCTCAGGTGGCCAGCCAAAGGATCATAATAGTATTACTGTAGTGAAAAAAAACACCTTTCCACGTGTTGTCATGTATGAAAAGACTCGAAATGAACACTGTAAATACTATACTCAAATTAAACAGAATTTGTATGTGCATATTATATGGGAATAATTCTGTCCAAAGCTTTTTTTAACCACATAAGCAGTAAATCACAAGAAAGAAAGAAAGAAAGAAATAAAGAAAGAGACGAGAGTCAAGATATTCAGTTCATCTTCATTCCAAGGTCATTGCTTTGTCATGCCTCTCTGCATCTTGTAGCGACACACAGTGCATACTTAAGCATATCTAAGAGACGCACACTGAAAACACATTCTAACATGTGGTCAGTGTTCATGCCGACATGAAAGGACGGCCTTTTTTGCTGGTGTCTGATGCTGGAGGTCACTGCCTAAGCGCTGAATTTTGACAACTTCCAAGTGAGACCAGGTTGCTTCATCAGGTGCTTTCAGCATCACATTCTCACTCTGACCTCGTCACATATTTATGTTTGGTCATGGACTTTACACGTCCACATATGGCATGCAAGGTACCCTGGGTGTGTTGGTTGTTGATGTTCTGGGACGCCGTGTCAACTTCAGCCTGTTACATGCATTGTCTTCTTTCAAAATACACTTCTGTTGTCACAGGAAATTTAATGTTTACATACAGTGTCTTTAAAAATAAAAGCACTATGTCGGTACAACACCGCAAATTGTCTTTTTTTACCTTCAACAACAAACACACTTGGTTGAGTTTAGGCAACAAAAGCATTTGGTCAGGCTGAGGAAAAAAGAACAGTGTTTGGCTTTAGAATCTTACAGGACGCGAACACGGCTCGCTCAGGTGAAAGTCAGTGCTAAACTATAACGGTTAAACTTTTTTTCGTTGGTTTCTGACGCCACAAGTCACTGCCCAAGTGCCGGATTTCGACGACTTCTGAGTGAGGCCGGGCTCTGGAGTGGATGGGTTTACACAGGATTTAGTTGAAAGCCTGGTGCGTCTCATAAAGACGCCAAAGTATCACATGCTGATGGGCAAGACAAAGCGTTGGTATTTAACAACCTGGGAATGCGCTTGACTTCTCAAGTCCCATCTTATAGTTGCAATTATGTAATTGGTTATAACAGACCTGCATGTTCATGGAGCCCAGTTGGAGAGCCATGCAGTAAGCCTTGTCACAGTGTCTGCCTGGCTCTGCTTGTGCCTCTCACTTACTAACAAGTGCAAACTGTTTCAAAGAAACTATCCTCTCTAACAGTTAAAGTAATAATAACAGTTAAAGTAATAACCATTGATAACCTGGTGATCAGGGTGATGCAGTCTTGTTACCCTCAGCTGAGGATCAAAGCCAAAATTAGCTCCTTATTTTTTCCGGTCATCGCAGCTATCGAAGAAGTCTGTGGTTTTATTTCATCTCATTTGCAGTGTTGCAATTCTCTTTATTGAGGGATCAGCTATAAGTCATTCGCCTGCCTGCAGCATTCCTGAAACGCTGCTGCCAGGCTCTTAACTAATTCTAGGAGACGGGAACACATTCCACCCTTTCATGCGTCTTTTTGCAGGCTGCTTGTGAGCTTTTAAATTGATTTTAAGACTTTACCGTTAATGCTAAGGCACTACATGGTCAGGCTCGAAGCTATATTTTAGAAATGTTCATCCCTCATGAGCAGCTCCTGAGATCCTCA